CCCCCCCCAGAGTGCCTCTCGAGTCCCGGATTTCCCAGCAGGCACCTGTTCTCATACTCTCGCTCTGATGCCTCCTGCTGTTCTCCACCTCGGCCCCGTCTCCCGTGCCCCACTCGTCCTCCTCTTCCCCCTCACAGGAGTTCCCGTTCTCCGGGAGGCGGTCAGCGTCATCTGCTGGGAAGCTGGCTTCACCTTCCTCCGGGAGCTGCAGAAGCCTTTTTAGCGCCCAAACTGCAGAAGAAGAAGAAGAGATTAGCTTTAGACCCTGCCCTTCACTTCCCTCAGGAGTCTCAGAGCGGCTTACAATCTCCTTTCCCTTCCCCTCCCCACAACAGACACCCTGTGAGGCAGGCGGGGCTGAGAGAGCTCTTTTGAGGGATGCTCGTGGTAGAACAGGGCTCCAAGAGAACTTATGACTGACCCAAGGTCACCCAGCTGGTTGCATATGAAGGAGTGGGGAATCAAACCCGGTTCTCCCAGATTAGAGTCCACGCTCCTAACTGCTACACCAAGCTGGCTCTCTGCAGGGGTAGTAGACACATGGTGATTACACCCTTGGCTGAGATTGCACACACCGCTGTGGCAGGGAGAGGGGAAAAGCTGGAAGAGAGGAGGGGAAAATATTTGGGCTTACTCACCTCTCTCCTGCACAGCAGCTGCCAGGGACCCATGCCCTTTGGGCTGTGGTTTATAGAGGGGCAGGATGTCGGCCAAGAAATCTTCCATCGCCTTGCTGGACCTCTGTTCACCCCCTGGGCCACGCTCCTCGAACTCTGCTCCTTCCAGCGGGCTGTCCTTCTCTCGTTCTGGCGTGGAGGGGCAAAAGACCAATCAGAGCTGTGCCTCTGAATACCATAATCCCCTTCCCTGTCCCCCCCTTGGCTGTGAGTTCGAGAATGATTCAGGGGTTCTATTCCCGCCCACCATCTTTTCTTATTTCTCCTTTCCTGCCTGTTTCGGAATATGAGGAGGAGGAGGAGGAGAAGTAGGAGAAGAAGAAGGAGAAGAGGAGGAGGAAGAGATTGGATTTATACCCCTGCCCTTCACTAGCCGAAGGCCCAGATGGCATACATCCGAGAGTTCTGAAAGAACTCAAATGTGAACTTGTAGATCTCCTGACAAAGATATGTAATCTTTCCTTAAAATCTGCCTCCATTCCTGAGGATTGGAAGGTAGCTAATGTCACTCCCATCTTTAAAAAGGGTTCCAGAGGAGATCGGAGGAGTGGGGAATCAAACCCGGTTCTCCCAGATTAGAGTCCGCGCTCCTGACCACTACACCAAACTTAAGCCTGGATCAGATCAAGGATCCTTCTAGCCTAGCATCCTGTTTCCTACAATGGTGAACCCGAAGGCTCAAGTCTCTTCTCCTGCTGAGCCCTGCAATGACTGCTATTCAGAGGTACACTGCCTCTGGACACGGAGGTTCTGTTTTGTTGACTTTCCTAGTTGAATTTTACCCAATCCTCTATTTCACCGGAAGATCCCAGTTTCTAGTATTGAGAGGGAAGGGGGAAGCGTCTCTCTCTGTCCCGCTTCCCACACCACGAACGCTACTCCCGGTTCTAACCCACTCGTCGCAAACCTCACCTTCCGAGGGCAGCGTCTCCTTGCTGCCGTTTTCCGTTCCACTGAGCAGCGGCTCTGCATAACTGCCGGGCGGAAAAAGATACGTCAGATACAAGTTTCTGGGCAATGCTCCCTCTAAGCTGTGGAGTCTCGTGAGCAGAAATTCTACTTTGTGAGCTACCAGCATTAAAGTTGCGAGCGAGCGATTTTTAGCAACTGCATAAATTGATCTGCTCCGGAGCCCTCCTTCCTGAGCTCAGACAAAAAATGTGTGAGCCGGAGGCTAAGAAACTGTGAGCTCACACTCACTGACTCAGCTTAGAGGGAACACTGGTCCTTTCTATACGGAGATGAGATTCCAGCTCCATCTTTTATTTACGGATTTATATTATCTGTAAAGGTTTCCCCTGCTTGAAAGCCAGTCGAATCCGACTCTAGGGATGCGGTGCTCATCTCAAGTTTCCAAGCCGAAGAGCCAGCGCTGTCCGAAGACTTCTCCGTGGTCATGTGGCCGGCATGACTAGATGCCGAGGGCGCACGGAACGCTGTTACCTTCCCACCGAAGCGGTCCCTATTTATCTACCTGCAATTTCTTGCTTTCGAACTGCTAGGCTGGCAGGAGCTGGGACCAGAGACGGGAGCTCACTCTGTCATGCGGCACTCGGGTCTCGAACTGCTGAACTACCGACCTTCCGGTTTGCAGTTCAGCGTCTTAACCACTTGAGCCACCGCAGCCCAATTATTATCTGTACAGCCAATCAAATCTACAGTGGCCAATCAGAAACTTTGCTGGGCAAAAGCCCCACCCACTTTCTAAAAACACCAACGCCCGTGGGTGCCGGGGAACCCTTTCCTACTTACTAGTGTGGCGAAGTTCGGTTTGGCACTGAATGACGTGGCTTCAGGCGGGTCGACGAGGGCAGCTTCAGACACCCGGCCGTCTCGCTGATCATACTGCACCAGCTAGGACGGAACAGAGGCAGAGGGTCAGATCTCTCCTGACGTCAAGGAAGACAATTCCGAAAGAACCAAACGCCCTGACGGCTGCTGGAAGTTCCGAACCTGGAACGCTACCTCTGGCTAAGGCGAAGCAGGCTGAAGTCAGCTCTACTTTGGGGGTGGAAATTGCCGTCAAGTCGTGGCCGACTTACGGCGACCCCGTAGGGTCTTTGAGGCAAGAGATGTGCAAAGGTGGTTGGCCGTTGCCTGCTTCGGCATCACAACCGCTTCCTTGGTCGTCTCCCATCCAAGTACGGACCAGCAACCGATGCTGCTTCGCTTATGAGAGTTAATGAGATTGGGTTAGGCTAGGTTATCCAGGTCAGAGCGAGCTCTGTTTCCACTTCAAATACACCTCTGGGAGGTGGTGGGCTCTCCTTCTTGGGAGGATTTTAAGCCAAAGGCTCGATGGCCATCTGGCAGCACTGCCGATTCTGTGAACTCAGGCAGATCTCGAGAAGGGAGGGCAGGGAGGGTGGCCTCAGTGCTTGGTTCTCGTGGACCTTTCCGACACGCCCAGGGAAATGCCGATCGCCACTTTGGGGTCGGGAAGGAATTGGTTCTCCAGGCCAGTCTTCCCTAGGGATCCTGGATGGTTTGTTTTGCATGCAGCAAGGGTCACTTGGTCGGGAAGGAATTGTTCTCCAGGCCAGTCTTCCCTGGGGATCCTGGATGGTTTGTTTTGCCATCTTCTGAGCATGTAGCAAACCCTACGACTCTATGCTTCCTCAAATTAAGTCACAAGCCATCTTTCCCCTCGCTTTGTCAACGGCTGCTTAATCCAAATTCGGAAAACTCCCTTTCAGCCCACTCCCCAGAGCACCATCTTGACGCTGTGGTCACCCACGCATGCTCTGGCGACACAAATCCATTCGGTACTTTTCTGAGTGGTTCACTTCCACCTTTCCACCCTGTCCCACGGCTACGGGCACCCCAGTTCTCCGCCCCCGCCCCCTCGATTCCTTACTTCTTCCTTTCGGACACCGTCTGTGCCACCAGCTCGTAGATCTGCGCCCCGTTCTCCCAGCTGAAGATCACGTAGAAGGCCTTGCGATCTAAAAGTGAACAGAGGAGGAGGACCCTCGCTTGTGTTCGCCTGAAGTGCCCAGCATACCTCCGGGACCGCCTCTCCCCATATGAGCTCTGTAGGGCACTGAGGTCCACAAATCAACATATTACGGCAGTCCCCGGCCCCAGGGACCACTGTTCCCTCTAAGCTGAGTTAGTGTGAGCTAGCTCACGGTTTTTTAGCCTCCAGCTCACACATTTGTGTCTCAGCTCAGGAAGGATGGCTCCAGAACAAATGAATTTATGCAGTAGCCAAATCGCTTGCTCACAGCTTTAGTGCCAGTAGCTCACAAAGTGGAATTTTTGCTCACAACACTCCATAGCTTAGAGGGAACATTGCCAGGGACATCCAACTAGCCTCAACGAGGGTCGGGGCCTTTTCGGCCGTGGCCCCCACCTGGTGGAATAAGCTCCTGTATGAGATCAGGGCCCTGCGGGATCTATTACAATTCCGCAGGGCCTGCAAGACGAAGCTCTTCCACCGGGCTTTCGGTTGAGACAGTGGACGTTCCGCCCCCAGCTAATCTCCCATCAGTTGTTGTTCAGTCGCACAGTCGAGTCCAACTCTTCGCGACCCCATGGACCAGATCACGCCAGGCCTTCCGGTCTTCCGCCGTCCTCTGAAGTTGGCTCAACTTCATGTTCGTTGCATCTATGACACTGTCTAACCATCTCGTCCTTTGCCGTCCCCGTCTTCTTTGACCTTCAATCTTTCCCAGCATCAGGGTCTTCTCCAGTGAGCGCTCCCTTCTCATTGGGTGGCCAAAGTATTTGAGCTCCAATTTCATTATCTGGCCTTCCAGGGAACAGTCCGGGTTGATTTCTTTTAGGATTGACTGATTTGATCTTCTTGCAGTCCAAGGGACACTGACTCCCATCAGTGGCCCGGATCCAAATAGACATCTGGGTACCCACCAAGGCTCCCTCTAAGCCATGGAGTCTTGTGAGCAAAAATTCTACTTTGTGAGTTGCTGGCATTAAAGTTGTGAGCGAGCGATTGGGCTGCTGCATAAATTCGTTTGCTCTGGAGCCATCCTTCCTGAGCGAAAACAAAAATGAGCCGGAGGCTAAAAAACTGTGAGCTAGCTCACACTCACTCAGCTTAGAGGGAACATTGGGTAAGCGCTTGTAATGGGATTTTAGATGATGTTGAGAAGGCAGGCTCTTGCATTTCTTTTCTCTTTATATGAGTATGTGTGTGCGTGCGTGTGTGCATGCACGCACACCTGGAGGTCATGGCGACCTCTGGTGACTGACCGCTCCTGGGGGCCTGGAGGATATTCAGAGAGGTGGCTGAATAAAGCCTGCCCCTGCCTCCCGACTGCTGGTATTCCTTGGAGGTCTCCCATACGAGTACTTGCCAGAGTCAACCCTGCTTAGCTTCCGAGATCTGACGCGATCGGGCTTGCCTGGGCTGTCCACATCAGGGCAGCATTTCTTTTCTTAATGACTACAAGATTCGAGGCCCGGCCTCGTGTTTCTTCGACGCTTCTTTTTCCTTCTGCAGCCACAGACTCTCAGGAACTGAGTCAGGCCGTTGACTCATCTAGGCTGACTCAACAGCGAAGCGAGGTCCCAGGCAAGCGCTTTCTGCAGCCCTGCCACCCAAGGGCTCGATTCAGTTGGCAGGCAACCTCTGAACGCAAAGCGCGAGCGCTGCCAAAGAGCCGCCACAGGTTACCATTACTAGTATTATGGCCAAATGGTCATTACAGCTAGATGTGTCTGCTGATGCAGAACGAACTTTACAGAATGGACCTTCAATTGGTTCACACACCTCATATCTTTACCATT